CCTTCATATTTAATTATATTTCATAGAATCATAATCTCAATATTTTAAAACAATGATAGTTAATTTTATTAGGTATATTATGAATGTTCGTCGAGGCTACCATTAATTTTAAAATATACTTGTCATAATACTAGTATTAGTATAGCTGTACAGCTTTAAGGTATAGTTAGCAGTACCTATATACCTAGCACAATATACCAGTTTTACATATTCATGTTATGGAGGATTATTAATATTTTAGTCAGTATCTAAGTATCTAGGCATTATTATAATACAATAAATATTGATACGTAGTAGGTACCTATTACCTATCATTTTTAATTTTTAATTTATTGATCACTGTTTAATATCTTTGATTAATTCGAAGATTCATTTTTATTGAATTAGGTAAATATTTATTGCACCCATTTTATTATCATCAGTTTACACAATGAGTTAGTTAGGATAACTAATTATTAAATGTACATTTTTATTCGGTGAATGCCGGTTGATTGCATAAACGTCTATTGCTTAGCTCAGAAAAAAAAATACCAACAGAAATGAAGCAAATAGATATTTTTTTATGAAATACAACTAGAATATAATTAAAATCAAAATAATACCTATTGTTTAATAATTAAATAAATATCATTCAACAATATTATGAATCTTCATGTTCATCTTGAATTTTACTTAAGTAAATTATTTAAATATAATAATATGTGGGTACCTATTACAACCAAATTCAAATTCAAATTTAACACCATACATTACAGTACATACTTGTAACTTGTAACCTACTGTACAAAACTTTTCAAAATTATCTCGAAAATTATAATAAACAATTTTGCAATTTATTATAATTCAATAGAAAAATTTGAATATCAAGTGTTGATATCGTGTTTTGAACTTAAATAGGATACCTACTTATTTAAATCTTATACATTTATTTTAAATTAATTCACCGAAATGCTATGATTATTAGTTTTAACATGTCTACTGAGGTTTGCAAAATCGAAAATTAATTCTAAATTTCAAAAAACTACCAGAGATTCCCAAAGATTACCAGAGATTTCCAAAGATTACCATAGATTTCTAGAGATTTCTAAAGATTACCAGAGATTTCCAATGATTACCAAAGATTTCCAAAGATTACCAGAGATTTCCAAAGATTACCACAGATTTCCACAGATTTCCAAACATTTGTACACTGATTACCAAGAGTGGTTTACCCCTCGGGCTTATTGGACTTTGATTTTTGATTAGGTTGCTAAAAACGAAAAATAATACAAAAATTAAAAAGTTGTGAAAAAGGATTAAATTCAAACTTGTAATATACAATTTAAAAAAATAATTTAGAAAATCTAAGTCCAACGCAATAAGTCTTCCTTTATCTAACAAAAAAAAAAATTACTGAAATCGGACCAATCTATGAGGCATGAGAGCTTTTCCTAAAAGGCATGTTTTTGAACTAAAAACAGGTCGCGCGCAGGCCCCTTAAGAATAAATTGTAAAAAAGTATAATGTTTACAGGGGGGTGTAAGATGTAACAAGACTGTTTTAAATTTGTACTGGAATTAGTTAAATAGTCTTGTTATACCTCATACATATGGTCACATAGAGTGTAATACAATAATATTTATAGTATAATAAAAATCTAAAACATTTTCTTACATGATTTTGAATAATGATATGCATCATAAACAACTGCCGGCATTTGGGCATAGATGGTACGACTTTGAAAGTTGCATCAGCTTGCCATACAGTACCATCATTTAAAATTACATCATTGAAGACCTCTGGACAGGCAAACATAACATGAGCTTTCCCATTGCCATCTACTATAATACACTCCTGAAAAAATCGATGACCATTGAACTGAATCAAATTTTCTTGTTCTTCTAAAATCTCTTTCAAAGAATTTAGAGTTTCGTGTAGTACCGGAACATGTTCACATCTTGCCTTACGCATTGATGACTCGGCTGATGTCCAAAGATAAGTGTAAGCCATATTTGGATTTCTAGATAATAATATTGAATAATAAGATAAATTTAAATATATCAAACATGTTGATGAGTATCTAACAAAGAATTAAACTATTAATTAATTTAAACTTTAAAGACATGAAAAATGTACGTGGAGTTATTATATTAGTTACGTATGGCATCAAAAGATATTTTATTCAAAATAAATCTAACATCTTGTTTTTTTTTTTTTTATTAATATAATAGTAAATTAAATTATAAAAAACATGTACCGACTAGTATAATTTGTTGTGTATCAATATTTTACAAAATGTTTTCCCTTTAAATCGACTCCCAAGTGAGAACAAACTAGAGATAGAATTATTGTTGGTTTTAAAAATTAAATATTCATTATCAATATATATAAACCTATTAATATATTATCTTTAAAATATTTGGAGCCACAGCTATAAAAACATAAACAGTGGGTTGAAGTGTAGGTACTATAAGTTTTTAGAACCAACAAGACCTGAGTACTATTGGAAGTATACTCATTTTTACTTGCTATTTAGATTGAAAGACACAACAAATGTAAGTTACACTCTTAATTCTTGATGCACTCTTCAAACTACAAATTTATATATTTATGCAGGGTCGGACTGGGGCCCTAGATTGAGTGTAAAACTAACCGCCAAACTAATTAAAAGACTGTGAATAAAAATTACACGAAATTACTCTATTTAATTTCCAATACAAAAATATTGTTAAGGAAGTTCTCAAGTACCAACAAATATAAACATTGTTTGCGGTCACTTGCGTTTTCAATGTATAAAAATAATGTTTCTATTAAGTATAAGTTGAAATATAGCCGTAAAACTTAATTATACTAAATTTCAGGTTTCAATTAACTAGGTGAGAATATAAAATTATTTTATAATAATAAGTATGAATCATAATACTCTATATTATATACATTCAATTTTCAGTTATTTTTTGAAAAATGAATTAAATTTTAAATACAATATCATTAGGTACTAGATTTTGTGTATTTTAAATAATTACAATACCGTTAAAGATTAATTTTTGTAAACAAATTATTTAAATTGTTTTCTTTATCACTACTGTCAGTATCTCTTGTGGTACAAGTAAGGCTTTGACGTCATCGAACTTACAAAAATATTGTAAAGGAAGTTCTCGAGTACCAAAAAACATAAACATTGTTTTCGGTCACTTGCGTTTTCAATGTATAAAAATATTATTGTCCAAATATTACCCTATTATTAATATAGATATTTTTGAAGTATTTGCTATAGTTACTGCAAACATTTTTATTCAAGTTTACCCTATTGCTATTATTATATTTGTGCTAAGAATATTTATATGAATAATTTTTTTTAGGATCTGAATGTAAACATTATTGATTCTATCCATGATGAAAAAGCTATATAGGTATGCCTAAGAGAATTGTCTGATTTGTGTTTTTAATATACTTATTCGCTTAGTTTACATATGCCTATCTACTTATTCTAATTTATATGCAGCCATGAAATATGTACTAACCTTATCGGTAACTCAGGTTAATTGTGAACGAGTAATAAGCAAATTAAAAATTATCAAAAATCGTCTACGCGCTTCATTATCTAATGACCACTTAGATGTTTTTTTTATTAATGTCTGTAGAAAAAGATATATTGGATGATTTGAAAGTTGAAGATATTTTGGACATTATTAAAAACTCATTTCTCATACAATATTTAAATTATTATCGTACACATAATTACCTACTTACAATTTATAAGGTTTAATTTGTCATAAGTACTGCTATTTAGTGTAAATGATTTATACCTATATGTATTGATATATTTTACATTTTCTTTGTAATCAACATAAAAAAATTCCTAAATCCTAATTCTTGTACACATATACTGTTGAGAAAAATATAATATTTTGTTAGTTTAAGTTGGGCTGATAAATGTGGAAAACTGGCCGGTTGCTTACAGAAAATAGTGGGCCGAAACCCTTCCAGTCCGGCCCTGTATTTATGCACTCCTCAAATATAACAAATCGACACACTTAGGCACTCTAAAAGCGAGAATTTTCAAAAGTAACCAAGTACGTGTAATTACAAGTAGGTACTATACCTGATAGCTTCTTCATCGTACATAATTTTCAAACGTGCAGTATCGAATTGTGCTCTATCGATAAGTACCTTCCGACATTTTTTTTTTCGAATTGTTTGAGGAAATGGATCATGGGTGTGTGTGATTTACCCAATATCGTTCCATCAATTTTCCTCTCGACTGTATGTACCATTACAGGTGACATTTGGACTGGAACAAGTATAATATCTAAATGGTAAAAAAAAAAACTACAGTTTGGTAAAAACGTTCATACTTACGAAGTAAATACGAGGGCATGATGGTTACTGGTTAGTACGTGGGTACTTTTCTGTTATACTTACTACCGCGAGCATAGACAAAGAAAATGACCGCGAGTCTCAATTCTGTTATCTCGACCACCTCGCCGACGCCGATTTAGATAAAAATCGATAATAAAATATCATAGACGGCGCCCGATGCACTTTCCCGCGTCGCTGGTGTTATTAAATAATAATAATATTCTTTAGTGTCGCCTATCAGTGTGATTGGCCGTCGAAGCGCTAGTTGTGCATTCGCCTTAGTGACGCTGGATGTCGGTGTAATTGTAATATTATTATAATGTAATCTACTGGTAGTCCTCTTGATAAGTTTTCCCCAACAGCTTTTTCGGCGTTACCAATTAATTTCCCCGTTCGTTGTACAAATTCTTTTTTCAAAGCGTCTTTTACTATTGCTGCCCGTAATTCTTCCTTAGTCTTATATTTCTTAGATTTTACTCGTCGTACTGAACTGCCCGTAGAACTACTATCTGAAATATCTGACTCCGTATTCATATACCTAATGTTTGTTAACATTACTAAAAATCTATTAATTCTCATTTGGTTTATTTAATTAAATATTTGATTTTATTTAATGTTTTATTCGTATATATTTCATATTACACATTAATCTCAGGGCCATGGGAGAGATTATTGTGTCACCAACATGGCAAAGTCGTATACTTTATTCTGTAGACGATAATGCACCATTCTTCCGTGGAAACTTGGAATTCATAGTCAATGAAGAATTGATTTTTGGAGGGTTGATTTTTTTAAATTTGGCATTTTTACGACGCATTGCTCCATACCTACGTGAAGCAAGAGTCTTGGCAATTGATGGCACATTTGGTGTCATTCCGCGAGTTCCTGCTGATGCCGAGCAGTTGATCACAATCCACGCTGTCTTGGACAATGTCGTAAGAGATATAGATGTTAACATTATATAATCAATTTACTTACATATTTGGTTTATTTAAATTTTATTTTCTTCAATTTAGGTACATTTGTAATTTAAGTCAGTTCCTGTTTTATATACATTATTAAATCGTAGAACAGAAAACGTCTACATAGGACTGTGGCAATATGTGCGAAATAATTTACCAGAAGATATTTTTGACTGGCAAAATGTAAGTATTGTGTCAGACTTTGAAACAGCCATGCGCTGATTCCAGAATGCCAATTGATCGGGTGCTGGTTCCATTTTTGCCAGGTAATAAACAAATTGCATGCATTAATGATTTTACTATTGTATAGTATTTTTGTGGACTCTTTAATCTAGATATGAAACAGATTTATGAATAACAATTTTTATGAGTTTCAAGTTAAATTTTCCTAAAACATAATATAAATTAATAATTATTTATATTGAAAATAATAATAATATATGATTTTATGTTAAAAAAATGTAACTACTAGTTTCTACATTTGGTCATCACTCATCAGGTTACATACTTACATGTCTTTATAATAACAAATTATCATAATAAATTATATTGAACTATATTTCTCAACTTGAACAGAGTATACTTAGTACAACTTATGTATACATCATATTATATTATATCATGTAAAATACAATAATATTTAAAAGAAATTTGGTACTTTAAAAAAACTATTAACTAAAAAAAAGTTTTCGAGTTCATGATATTTTTAATGTATTTCAGCATTTGTGATTTACCTTAGTCAATAAAGAAATTATATTATCAAATGCACTATTTTCAGAGCATTTTACGTTTTGTCCAGACCCATTTTAGGTTAGGTTTTCCGTGAAAACCATCGTGCTGCCACAATACTGAAAATGGTAATAACAAATAACAATTAGTGGATCTAGTGATATGAGAAATTCTTACATTTATATTAACATTTTTTTATATATATATATATATATAGATTATGTCTTTACCACACTTGCCACCACAACAGATGCCAGAATTTCCAGATGACTTCCACATTCTTGGGGGTTTTCTGGCAATCACAAGATTGGCAACACGTATGGGCATACTGAACCGTATTGTTCAGTTAGTGGACTATGTCAGACAATACTGGTTGACAACACTACGTCCATCCGGGTTTTCCGTTTACGGTGTAAACATCCGTACTAATAATTTTGTAGAAAGTTTTCACAGCATGCTTAAGTCCACCATAGGCATACATCCCCCAGTCTGGTCTTTTTACGGTAATTGATTTTTAATAAAAATATATAGTTGACAATAGCTGGAATTTTGATTGGTTTTCATAATTTTTTGCAGATAAATTACGATCGGTTGAAAGTAGAGTATGGAGGGAAACGTTACAAACAATCAATGGCCAGCAAGTGAGACAATTAACTATATATGGCTTACATTTTTGAAATTAATTTTAATTTTTATAAATAAAACTTTAAAGGTACGAAGATTTATTGTGTCTAGCAGAGACACAAATAACTGCATTTTGGCTGATGCTCTACGAAACATACGCTATGGCCGCTATGACACAATGGCATATTTAAGAAGAGTATCTTATTCGGTGAGAGGGTATATAGATATGCAAATAGGCCCTTTAGCTAATGGTAGGTACCATATAAATTCAATTGGGTGTATAAACTAAATGACAATGAAATGGAATTATAGAAATCCTTCTCGAAGATTTCATTCCTGGACAGCTACCAATGGTTGGACTTCAGCCTCTGCCACCTGTATTCCACATTCATGGGGCTGGTAGACCTAGGAGGGGTCGTGGTCGTCATCGGGCAGCAGCAGTTCCAGAAAATCATGGAATGGTCCGGCATCCAAATGTGCGCCAACAACCAGGTGGTGGTAACATTAGATCAATTGAAGATCTCCATGTTCTCGGTAATATACAACTATATATTTAAGTTGAAAATACATTAAATACTCTAGTTACTATACTTTAAATATAAATATCATAGGGAATACAGACAATATTGAGGTGCCAATCCAGATTCAAGGTAAGCATATAGAAATAAAATATGATAAAAAATATATTGTCTTAACGAAATATGACTTTTTTGTTTGTTTGATTAGCAAATAATGAAGACCGAAATGAGCCCCTTGATCTGCCAGAAAACGAAAGTATGCCTTAGAGTAAAATACCCAACCAGCTCACCAGGCAGTTGATTTAGATATCCCTACATTTGAAGGTAAGTTATTATTATTATTATTATTATTATTATTATTATAATTTTCCTTTAAGAGGGCATTACACTGACATATTTGTTATCTCAGTCTTAGAAGTGCGTAACATACCTAATTTACTCTCAGAAAATCATGTTTAGCTATACTAGTTTAAAAATTAGAGTGAATTTACCTCATAAAATGTAAAGGTAAGATTATTTTTTTAGAGTATCTCATAGGCTTTTTATTATATTTTAATTTTAAAGCGAGTTATAAAAATGTATTTTTTATAATATTAATATTTATTTTTAATTTTAAAATTGTAAATTTTATGTTACATATTAAAATACTCATAACTCCCTTTAAAGTTAAAATATAATACAAAGCCTACAAGATGCCATATAATAAACTTAGCTTTAAATTTTAGAAGAGGGCAATTTAATCTAATTTTTAAATTAACGGAGCTATACGTGTTCTACCGAGCTTACAAATTGCTATGACACACACTTGTAAGGAGGAGACAACAAATGTGCTTGTAACGTCCTCATAAACAGAATTGAAAAATAAAAACTCACTTATACTTTTTATTCTAAAGGTGACCCTGTAGACAGATGTTTTATTTGCCTTGAAAGTTGGAGCCAAGTAAATTCGGCCAACATTTTGGTGCCTTGCGGTCACGGATGGTGCTGTGATGAGTGTGCGATTTGATTAGATAAATGCGGAGTTTGCAAAGTAGAATTTCCCACATATAATGCATGTTAACCTAGGAGATGGTAAATATTAATAATGATACAGTAAATTGAAGATTTTTTCTTTTATAATTAATATATACAATTTTTATTAAAAGGTAAATGGATGCAAAATACTTCCTTACTCGATCTAACTGGAAGTCAGTGCCTTGGATGTATGCACCATGTACAATATGTACCAGACCATGCGCAATACATACTGTTGGACTGTGGCCATGGATGGTATTGTGCGAGCTGCATCTCAACACCTCCTGCCGCATGTGATGTCTGTGGTGATATGATCGAAGGTACCATAAGAATATTTTTAAATTGAAAAAATATTTATCATTTTTTTGTTACTCATTAATATATATATATATATATTTTTTATATATTACAATATTTTTTTTTTATATCTATTTGTTTTGTTTATTTACTTAAATAATTTTTTGCTTATATCATTTTTATATTTTCTTATTAATTATTATTCAGGAGATATTCTACTAAACCTCCATCAATAGCAGATAATATGTTTTAATTGTTACAAAAAACATATTCCAAAAGATAAGATCACCACATAATATTAATTTATCTAATTATCATAGAGATTGGCTCAAACGACTGTAAGACAAAATATTTAAATTTCTTGTTTTGATGTTGAAAATTGTTAACAAGCTTACTCATATAATCAGGCACAATTTCAACTTTTGACTTGGGGGGGGGGGGGGCTGAATATATTAAAGGCATGCAGGCCATTGCAAAATAGCATATTAAAATTGTATGTCCTAGGTTTTGGGGAGGGGGCTACCAATTTGCGCCTATGCATATAATATCTACTTATACCAATTTAAATTTAGATATAAATCATCTATTATATTTATAAGCTCTTTATATGGCAAAAATGGTAGTTTATATACAAAAATAAAAAAACAAGTTAGTATTTCAAAACCAATATCTCTTGAAAATGTCATTTATAATGTATCATTGATATAATTGAATTCAAAACATAGTACATCCTGTTTTTGAGGTAATATCTAAAATATCTTCAAAAAATAAAATGCCAGTTTACCAATTTAGGTGTAGACAGCTTTTATTCGAATCACAATTAATATGTGTTAGGGTTCCATATAAATGGATATAAAATTGTTTATAACTCTTCAACCACAGACAGAGTGGACTTAGATTAATGTGAAAAGAATAATTAAATTACACAAAACAAATTTACTAAAACTTTTTTTATAGAAACTGGAGTCAACAAATTATATTAATAACAAATAGCTTAATGAATTTCAAATTATAAGATGTGATTGGGATCAAAGAATATCTGATAGATATTAAAAGTTTTGTGGGTCCAGCGGCAATTGTTTGTTTCAAATTATTTTTACTAATACAAGATGGAAGAGCTTTAAATGATTACAAAGAGTGTATCCTAAGAAAATATTATAATTATTACCTTGTCACATTGAAGAAAAAGAATGACACTGAGATTGCCTAATAGCCAAAACAAATATTTAATATATTAAAATATAAAATTTCTAATTTATCCATGGTCTAAATTAAGATAATATTAGATGTCAAATATAAATTTTAATATCATACTATAGCTGTGACACCGTGTAGTGTGCTTCTGTTTTTCATTTACAGATTCTGAAGTTCTGAACTCTGAGAAGATCTACTTTACACCGTGGAGCGTGGATTATATGTACTTTAATAAAATCTATACATTGACACATTGTTAGGGACTTAGGGTTAAGTTACATAACTTAAAAATTATATTATTAATATTATTTATCATGGTTTTTACTTCTCAATTATCATGTAGACATGCGGTTATCTCTATCGGTAAAATCCAAATATGTCGGAGTAATATGATATAATATCGTAGTAATATAATATGTTCGAAGTAATTGATATCGGAGCAGTATTATGGTTGACAATAAAAATTTTTTTTCGGAGTAATACAAGTTCATAGAAGTATATAGTCGTAGCACTGGTGTTATCCCTCTTAAATCTACTGGTAGTCCTCTTGATAAGTTTTCCCCAACACCTTTTTCGACGTTACCTATTAATTTCCCCGTTCGTTGTACAAATTCTTTTTTCATAGCGTCTTTTACTATTGCTGCTCAGCAATTTTATAACAATAGGTATTCAACTACCTATTTCTTATGTAATTCTATTAAACGAATTTATTACTTTTAACGATTTAAATTATCACACAAAAATCTTACTACTATACTTATTCTAGGCGCCTTACAATTACTTTTATTCCGAATTCTTGACGTCAACTATTTTTCTTCAATATATCAACTTATTTTTCTTCAACAT